GAGCAGTGCCACGCAGCACGGGGCAGCAGCGTGGGCAGCGGTGCCCGAATTGCTGCAGGCAGTGCTGCAGGGTGGGCAGGATTGCACCAGCACTGGAATAAACCTCAAGTTCCCTGATCCTCACTGCCTCGTGTTGCGCAGAGCCATTCCGGGAGTGCTGCTGCAGCTCTGCAACACTGCTCGTGCTGATGGGGCGCGACCTGAGGCCGTGCACAGCGCCTGGATCCGCACTGCAGGGCTGGCTGCACAGCACCATCCACAGAGGAAGCACACGAGGATGCGGCGATGCCGGGATGAGAGCAGAGCAGCACTGCTGGGGCTGAGAGCTCCCGCTCTGCGCTGTGGCACTGGGATGGCCGCCCCCCAGCCAGCAGCTCCTGGATGCCCCCAGCTCCAGGGGATGGCAAAGAGGGCACGGGCTGTGCGGGTGGGGGCTTGGCAGCACCGTGTCAACTGCTCCCCCATGGGCACAGCCTCAGTGTGCTGCTGAGGGAAGGGGCACGGCTCAATCGCACCATACAGGGAGGAGGAAGTCATCTTTATTCAGCAGCCAGCCGTGGCGGTGCTGTGCAGTGCGTGCTGATGTGGGATCTCAGCTGTGGGGCGATGCAGCTCTGCCCACACTGCCTCACACTCTCTGGGCAGGTTTGGGGTAGGACCAGGTGAAGAAGGCGTCGGTGATGGCAGAGGGCATGTAGCTGAGTGGGATGTAGAGCAGCTTGGCATCCCAGCCAGCTGCATAGCGGCAGCGCGGGTAGCGGCTGGTCAGTGCGTGCTCCATGCAGTCCGTCACCAGCGAGAGGTTGGGGTTGCACCTCTTCTCTGCCTCCCGCATGGATGTCAGGACTGGGGGCAGAGGGAGGGGACAGGCGCTGACCTCGTGCCAAAGGGACCCGGAGGCCCGCGGGGTCCCGGCACAGCTCAGCACTGCGGTGCCGGATGGGCTTTGGGGATGCACTCACAGTCCTGCAGGTATTTGTCCCCATAACTCGCTTTGGTTTCATTGGGCAGCCTCTCCCAGGTTCTGAGGAAGCTCTTCTCCAGGCCTACGGTGCTGGTGATGCCCGTCTTGAAGTAGCCCGGCTCAATGATGCTCACCTTCACCCCGAAGTGCTGCATCTCAAGCCTGGAAGGCAGTGATGCCATGGGATGGGAGCAGCAGAGGGGTGTGGGCTGTGTGGAGCTGTGCCCCCCATTGTGCCTCACTCTGGGGCACAGTGGGGAAACCCAACCACACAATGCATCCCAGGCAGTCCAGCATGGGGCCGAGACAGTGCACGAGCAAACATTGACCTCAGTGGGACAGGATGGGGTCAAGCAAACTTTGGAGCCGTTCCACAGAACACACAGCGGGGCAAGGTCCGAGCAGCGGGGTTCCCTTCCTGATGCTAGCACCCCAGTGATGCCAAGCAGAGCTTGGGGAGGTGCAGCTCTTTGGGGAGCACAGGACTCACCTGAGGCTGTCGGAGAAGGCCTCCACGCCGAACTTGGAGGGGCAGTACCCCCCCCCGAAGATGGAGAGCCGGCCCATTATGCTGGCCACGTTGACCACGCGGCCCCGCGCCCGCTTCACCAGCGGCAGGAGGCTGAGGGTCACCTCGATCAGCCCCACCAGGTTGACGTTCAGCACTGCCACAAAATCTTCCTTCCTCAGCCACTCGTTGGGGGCGGTGGGGATGGCGATGCCGGCGTTGTTCACCAGCCCCCACAGCCCTGCAACAGGGATGGGGTGAGTCGTGACCCCCACCGCGCCCCTTCCCCACCTGGCCCCCCTCCTACCTCTCTGCCCCACGCGCTCCTGCACCCACGCGGCGGCGGCGGCGATGCTGCTGCTGGAGGTGACGTCCAGCAGGACGGTCTGCAGGCGCGATGAGGCGGCCGCCCGCAGCCGTGCGGCCCCCGACTCCGTCAGGCAGCCCGCCAGCACCCGCAGCCCCCGCGCGTCCAGCTGCCGTGCCAGCAGGCTGCCAAAGCCCGAATCGCAGCCCGTGATCAGCACAAACTTCTCCTCCAGGCCGGGCACCGTCTGCCGCTCGCGGTGCCAACGCCGCAGCAGCCACAGCCCCAGCAGCGCCAGCAGCCACAGCCACATCCTGACCGGGGGAAAAGAGGGGCTGAGCGGGGGCTGACTGCAAGGACCTGCGTGTCGGGGTCATCCTGGGTCCTGGCTGTGCCCCTGCAGCTGTCTCGCCACTGCCCCAAGCACGCTACACTGGGGGCTGTTCCCTGGATTTGGGGTCTTTGGCTCTCAGATGTAAAGTCCTTGCACTTCCCTATTGGTTGCCACCCCATTGGAACCCATTGCAGCTGGTGCTCAGGGTGGGTGCTGGTTTGTGGCTCTCAGCCCTATCTACCTCCACCACCCTCCCACCGCACACAGCACTCGGTTTCCGTTCCTTTAACACACCTATGAGGTTTCCCTTCATCGTGAGGAAGACGCACTGAGGACTCAGTTCAGTGCAGCCTCACCACGCTCCCCCAGAGCACAGCATCGCAGTGGGGCGGCTTCAGAGCAGCACCCACCATCCCACAGAGCTCCCACCCCCAGTCCAGCCTTGTCTGACTCCTCCTGCACATCTCCCTGAGCTTTGCCCATCCCAGAGGAGCTGCACCTGCAAACACCACAGCAC